AAAAAAAAAAAAAAAAATTTTGAAAATTTGAAAAAATGGGTCGGCGGGTTATGCAAAACGAAAAATTAACTTTGCGTTGCCTTAGTTGTAGATATATATTTTTAGCAAATTGTAACCTGTGTGATATCGAAGACTTAAATATCGATAGGGGTGATGCAATGACGGATGATGCTGTGAATAGTAATGATCCAGGGGGTGATACCAAGGACAATGGTAATAAATTAAGGATATTTAATTAGGATGGTGTTTGTAAGGGTGATAATAAGGCAAAAGCGGACGATGATCAAGTGATGAAGGGGATAACTTTGGGTTCACGTGATGAGTCAATGAAGTCAATTATCCGATCGTAGGTGTCGTTCTATACACACAAGTCACTACCGCAAATATATATTTCATTCCACAAATGATTCAGAATCCGAGTCTTAATAAACCAAGTCGAAGTTGCAAGTCAATTCAGTCCGTCGAATTGAGTCCGAAAGAGTTTATTAAAGTTACAAGTCGAATTCACAAGGCGATACTCAAAGGAATACTTAAATAAGTGTATGCTTTATTCAAACGAAAGCGAGACAATAATTTAAAGATGGAATGGTTTCTTTATTTATTCATAAGATGGAACTAACAAATTCTAAACTCTACTGCTTTGAATTGTAGGTCTTTAAATACATTTTAATTTTCAGGAACGTAAGCACCACAATTGTTTACACCGAAACTATATCGTAGACGTGGAAATTTGGGTGTATACACCGTAAAAATAACGTACACACAGAAAAATCTTTGAGGCCCGGTCCTTGTGTAATCACGTGTACGCGATTTTTTCAGTGTTTACGTGATTCATTTGATTTTCATGCAGCTACGTCACTAAGCCATCCATCATTACCGTTTTAGTATAACGATAAGTTATGAAATATTCAAAAAAGAATTAATAAATTTACTAACGCTAAAATTGGACATTATTATCAAAATAGATGGGGGAATTATTAATAATATATACATACGGATATTTCACCGAAAAATCGAAGATTTATTTACACTAATACAAAAAAAAGAAAAATAAAGTTTTAACTCGTTACAGTACCGTACAATTAGTGATGTGCCGTTTATATGATACCCGAATTTTTTTCGCATACAGTACGTATAGTACGTATAGTGCGTATAGTGCGTATCTGGCGATTTGATTGGCTGGTAGAAAAGATCGGCAAAAATTTTCGCGTACAGTACGTAGGGTGGTGCTCATTTCACCGACAATCACTTCACCGACATCTTAGTTCACCGACAATTAATTCACCGACAAGTTCATTTCACCGACAATTAATTCACCGACAGCTCATTTCACAGACAAAGTAATTCTGGTCATTGTCGTTAAGGTCAGGCTAGAATTAGAGTTAGGTTAGTGTAATTTATAAATAAAATTTGTCGGTGAAATGAACTTGTCGGTGAATTAATTGTCGGTGAAATGAACTTGTCGGTAAATTAATTGTCGGTGAACTAAGATGTCGGTGAAGTGATTGTCGGTGAAATGATACGTATCCCAGTAGGTACAGTACGTACTGTACGTATAGTACGTATAGTACTGTACGCGGCACATCACTACGTACAATGCAAAAAAAAACACAAATACATATGACATATATGCACACCGCATATTCCAGTCCACTTTAATCCAAGTTCAACGTGACTAATTAGATTGCAAGTCTTTAAAATTTTAAAATATATACCGTAATACACACCTCTACTTTATTCAATCTCAGATTAGCGAGAATAGAAATAGAGTCTTTACTGAAGTCATTCCTGTTAATCTGAGTTTGAATAGTGTAGAAGGGTGCTCGTGTTCTGAGGATTACAGTAAATGAAATTTTCTTTTAACAGTTAAATGAATGATTTTTTAATTAGTATTGCATGTAAAAATTGTAATTACTTTTTTGCCAAATTTTAAAAGTAATTTAACTTTTCTACGAATTCAAATGAGTTTTTGCCTTTGATTAACTCATAGCGACTTTCACAAAATATGATTCACTAGCTTTCCCAAAATTTTTGATTCCCGACGTAAATTGTTAATACAGCCACGGGCAAAACAAATAAAACGAGACAATATATAAATTGACATATATAATAAATCCAAAAGCCATGACAATAAATAGTGAGGTATTTAAAAACGATGATCAGATGACATATTGATATTACCGTAAATAATATTATTGATCAATGTTTTTGGATCACGCAATATTTTTTCGGTTCCGGTTCATTTCACCGAAAATCAGTTCATCGACAGTTGATTCACCGACAATCAATTCACCGACAAGTTCATTTCACCGACAATACGATTCACCGACAGTACGTTTTACCGACAAGTTTTTTTTATAAATTACACTAACCTTAACCCTAACGCCAATGACCAGAATTACTTTGTCGGTGAAATGACTGTCGGTGAATCGCATTGTCGGTGAAATGAACTTGTCGGTGAATTGATTGTCGGTGAATCGTACTGTCGGTGAACTGATTGTCGATGAAATGAACGGAACCCATGCATCGTTAAATAATACTTAAGATGTATTAAATCATACTCTGTTGTCGTTTTCCGCAATCATACCATTCGGTTAAAAGATATTCTGTGGTAAATGTTTTTTTAATGAATCATCTCCCTCATTGTGCTTGAACTTAGAAAATTAACGCTAAACAATAACCAACCTGAATGGCCAAGTTTCACTATGATTCAATGAAAAAAATTTTTAGAACAAATGAATCATTATCATTAAATACGTAAATACAGAAATATACAAATGCTTTTTTTTCTTATTATAATGAATATAATATTTGGATGATATGCATATAATATTTATTTATCTATTAAATACATATGAAGATTTTTTTATAAAAATGTCAAATAATATTAATCAAGATTATATATTGTCCCATTAGACCATTTTGTTAAATTCGTATATATATTCAAATGTGACTTAAGATGTATTCTCCTAATAAAAGGTTCCACAAATGATGGTAAAGTAAAGACTACAATTGGTAAAAATAAAGACATTTTAAAAATCTTGATTCCAAAACTATCTTTAAAATCTTTTCCTCTTCCTAAAATATCACCTTCAACAGCTTCCCACAAAACCAAAAGTATTCCATGAAATAAGAAAAAAATTGTATAATCTATCGAAAAATAATTAAAAGTCACTATTGTTATATAATCATGAAACACTCCACTTATCAAGAAAGCAGCACATATTCCAAGTGCACGCCCAAGAGTTTTGTTGTGTTTAAAACAGTTTCTGACAGGAAGATAGCCCAATTCTTGAAAAATTTGATTATATATTTGATGCCATTGATTGGACCAGAGATCTCGAGGACTCGTTGAAAAATATGGTTTACCAATTAAAGGTTTTGTATAGAATATTACAAGGATTAACCATTCTTTGATTGTTGTTTTAAGAGATTTTGAATCTTCTCGTTGTTTTCTGTCTTTATCTTTATCTTTATCAGCGTTGTTAGATAACAAAAATTTTAAAATTATGCCATATATGATAAGATAAATATTCCACACTAGTGAAAAGGATATTATCCCATAAATTATATAAAGAATGTAAAAAAGTAAGGTATATGGTTCAATAAATGGACGCCCAGTCCTAAGATTATCTAAAACCCGTAACCTATATGATCTTTCTGGAATTTCTGGTTTGCTATTTTTTAAATATTCGGACATAAGATCCGAAAGTAAAAATTTCACCATAGACATGATTATGTTATTAATCATCTCTCGATTAAGATCTGAGACTTTGATAGAATCAATATATTTTTGATATTTTGATTCATCAGGAATAGTTACTGATTTAGGACGCCAATTGAAGAATGAACCGATGAATGAAGGAACTTTAATTTTCGGATTGATGGAAGATTGGTAATTTTTTTTCAACCATAACAGCATTTTAAAAAAGTAATATGATACAAATGCTACGTTTAATTGGTCGTATCTTCCATGATATAAGAAAGGAATTAGCGCTTGAACAAAGGGTACAATACAAAGTATAAAGATGAGGGGTTTGCTAGTTATGGGTTTGAGAGATAAAAGAATAAATGCAAATAAAGGAACATGGATAACTACTACATAGACTGTTGGATTTAATGTGGGTGGAAATTCGTATACCTGAGACATCTTTCACTAGTTAGTATATTTGCTGAAAATTTTTATTTACCTTTACGACCGAACTTGAACAAACGTGTATTTATAATTTTATTAGACATCATTAACTCCATTGCTGCAAAAAAAGCTGTATGATATGAGGAAAAACCTGTAATTTTAAAAATAGATTTATTATGAATTACTTAACGCTAATAAATGTACGTACGTACGTACCATACGGAAAATACTTATTTGTGCGAGTGATACAATCCAGAAAGGAAATTCAACGTAAAAATAAACAAAGTAAAAATTTAGGGTTAGAAAGATGCTATAGAAATAAATATTTACTTTCTATATAAAATTTCATTTCCGTCACTTTTAATTAGTGACCCAAGACAAATTTAAACACACAGTTTCTTGTATTTTCGCTTTTTTCGTTTTTTTTTTTTGTGTTTTTCTTCGCTTTACTCACGTGTCGGGCTGATCCGGAATAATCCCATTTTATTTTCTCCGATTGGCTAATTCCCTTTTTGGATTTGTATCACTCGTACAAATAAGTGCACGCCTTTGGCGCACTCCCTTTTACCTGTTACCTGATTTGTACAATTTTGGCGTGCTCTCTTTACCTGTTTTTATTCGTTAGTGTGTTTTTGTTTTTTACTATTTTTGTATTTTGCATCATGTTTGTGCATATGTTCCGCAATCGAAATCCATAAGGAAAATTTTTCATCCGCATTGTTACATATACTTTGATTCTAGATACTAAATTCTAGATACTATATGAGTGCCGCCAAGAGAAAAGGGGCACCTCGGCAATTTAAGTATGTTACTAACTAATTGTCAAGTTCAGCAATGATGCAGATCGGGCTTTCAATAACATTAATATAAACTGTTTATGAAAAAATTTAGTGTGTTATGTTGTGTAATTTAAAACACGATCTGCATTATTGTTGAACTCGATAATTAATCAGTAATATATTAAAATTGCTAAGGTGCCCTCTTTCCTTGGCGGCACTCATATATGAGTGCCGCCAAGGAAAAACTTTCAACGTCCAGTTTTGTTTACTGAGCGTCGTCTAAGGAAAATCTATTATCCGACAAACTCTTATGATCATGAATTTATTTCTGTCTGTTATTTTTTTTCATGTGTTACGAAATATTTACTTTTACTCGAATTAAAAATCAGCCGACGACTCCCTACCAATCATGATCATAAATTATCGGATAACACCATTATTCGGCAAATTTTTGATTGGCTCAACCGGGCAAATGATTGGCTGACACGTGTTTCGAAGCGGCACGTGTTCATTTGCCCGGTTGAACCAAATTACCGTTATTCAAAAATTTTTGCCGAATAATGTATACTT